TGTTCGTCACGTTGAGAGTAGGCTAGATATCATGTCACATACGTTTGCGATACTTCCAGACATGCTACAGCTCTCCTGACAGAGCCAGACGCATCCGTTCAACGCGGCAGCAACCGTAAACGCATTGTCACGTTGTCAGCAGGTGAAATATCATGTCACATACGTTCGTGATACTTCCATACATGTAACAGCTATCCTGATTGAGCCAGACGCATCCGTGTGGCTCGGCAGCAACCGTTAACACACTGAAACTATCGTCACGTTGTCAGCAGTTTAGATATCATGTCACATACGTTTGCGATACTTCCAGACATGCTACAGCTCTACTGACTGAGCCAGACGCATCCATTCAACGCGGTAGCACCCTTAACGCATTTATACGATCGTCACGTAGTCAGCAGGTTAGATATCATGTCACATACTTCCAGACATGCTACAACTATCCTGATTGAGCCAGTCGCATCCGTTCAACGCGACAGCAACCTTTAACGCACTCAAATGTTCGTTACGTTGTTAGCGAGTGAAATATCATGTCACACACATTTGTGATACTTCCGGACATGCTACAACTCTCCTGATTGAGCCAGACGCATCCATTCAACGCGGCAGCAACCGTTTACGCACTTAAACGTTCGTCACGTTGACAGCAGGCTAGATATCATGTCACATACGTTTGTGATACTTTTCAGACATGCTATAGCTCTCCTGATCGAGCCAGACGCATCCATTCAACGCGGCAGCAACCGTTTAGCACGTCTTGAAGCACCACTAACGTATGTGACATGGTTTATTAGCTGCTGACAACGTGACGAACGTTTGATCTAAGTATTGCTGTCGCATCAAATGGATGCGTCCAGTTCGATCAGGAGCGCAGTAGCACGTCTTGAAGCACCACTAAAGTATGTGACATGATACATCAGCTGCTGACAACGTGACGAACGTTTTATTGGGATAACTATTGCTGCAGCTTAACACGGATGTGTCTGGTTCAATCAGGAAAGCTGTAGCATGTCTGGAAGCATCACAAACGTATGTGACATAATATCTTAGCTGCTGGCAATGTGACGAACGTTTGACTGAGTTAAATGTTGCTGCCGCGTCAACGAATGCATCTGGCTCAATCAGGAACGCTGTAGCACTTCTGAAAGCACTACAAACGTATG